AGCATTAATCACCTACACGGCATCTACTGCCCTTTCCTTAATACAATTCATTTGGTATCATTCTCTACATCACACAGACTGAACTTCTTGGCTCCTCTTGTATCACCCTTCGCGCGACTCTTTCATGTATCTATTTGCCTTTACCTACTTCTATCCTCTGGTTCGTGTACATCTACAGAGATGAACATGAGGTCATGGGCTGTACATATCTGTAATGCGGATGGACGAAGGATGGCTTGAGGAAGTCCTGCAGTCGACCAAGCTAGAAACAACAACGAAATCTCATCAGATTGCTCCACCTGTACCATTATCCTGATGAAGAAACCACGATGTATCATCAAACTAATGCATGCACGGTTTATATGTTGAGCCAGACACTAGCAATGGTTCATATTGAAATACAGCGGTAGCGACGGCCGTTGATAGCTGCACCCTTAGCCCCTACCAAGGCGTCATACATGTGTAGCCTGCTTTTCCTGAGGTGTCAAGTCGCGTCGGAACCAAACTGGGACGCGTCGGCGCTAGTGGTAAGCGATCCCCGCATCGCGCATCCCTGCCCCACCAAACATGTGCAATCTGCATGCACGCTCGCTGCAAGCCAACACACGCATGCATCCGGCCCGAGACATACTTCAGATCTCTGTCTTGCATTCCGCTGCTCGTCGGGTGCCTGCCGATTGCTTACCTTCGATCCCATCACCCCGCCTTACCTCGATCTCGGCGCCGCCACGATACACGCGCGCGTGAGACACGGCAGACACGCGACTTACGTACCTGACCGATACGACTGTTGATTTCCGACAGAAGCAAAGAGCTGTGTGTAACGGTACAATGGATATCGACGACCTTCTCGCAGAGGTCTCGGTCGACTCCACGCCAAGAGAGACGCGCGATCTGCAGGAATTGACACGGTGTTGGGTTGCGGAAAGAGTCGCGCCGGAGATATTACCATGGCCTGAGGAACTCATGGAGAGGGTGTTGGAGCGGATTAGGAGACAGGTGAGCGCGCGGAAGACTGCAGCTTGCGCAACGCAAGGTAGCTAATGACGCAGCCAGATTGAACTTGTCGAAGACCAGACGGGCGACATGAACCCGAAGACGAATTTCAAGCTCATCATTATACAGACGGAGCTTGAGCGGTTCAAGTTCTTGGTTCGCAGTTTTCTGAGGGCGAGGATAAAAAAGGTATGGTGCTGCCCTGCCCTACTGCCAATCTGTACAGCGGCATACTGACACTGCGACTGTAGATCGACGCACACCCTCTGCACATTCAATCGTTACATACAGCCTCCCTCGAAACGCCTTCTCCGCTCCTATCCCCATCCGAACACCAATATCTGACGTCGCATCAAGCGCTCCTCTCCTCGCACTACACCTCCTCGTTTCTCTCGCAATTTCCGGCGTCGCTACAACGGCTCGATGATACCACAGGTGGCATAAGCATGATTGACAAGCCGGATGAGGACAAAGCGGTCTTCGTCAGGGCGTTGCGCGATGTGGGAGAGATATTCGTGGAAGGAACAGACCGCAGGTTTGAGATGAAGAGGGGGGATGTTTGGGTCGTGCGGTGGAGTGCTGTAAGGGCTTGGTGTGTGGGGTGTGGCACGGGGGATGTTGAGTTGATATGAGGGGTTGCTCGGGGTCAAAAGAGGGAACTAAGGATGCCACATGGCTACCAGCGACATGGCTCGCGATACGCTATGCTCTGTTACACAGGAGAAGGCGAACAGCTAGGGCGTTCGAAGGCACTTCAGAGCGCTAGCATACGCTGTGAGACCGAGTTTCTTCCAGTCGCGATACTAACCCTGTTGGTAACAAGGCGGCGGTATACAAACACATCAAGCACGTCCGAGAGAAGCGCTCGGTACATCACTATTGGTTAAGCCAACCGGCGACAAAGTTTTGTGCACATTCCCATGTCATGATGATGATGATGATGATCATCGTTTCCCATGCATCCTCTGTTTTGACATCTCTCGCACGACAGTGACCACTCAACGTGCATCTTCGTACACAACGCGAGTTCACATCGCTTCTGGTACTACAAGTTTTGTTCGAAGCAACAGGAAGGCAAAGACGACGAAGTCGTTGGAACCGAGAGCTGGAAACAACACATGTAGTTGTAAAAGAACTCTCTTGGTCAGCCTGGATTCCTCCTCTCCTCCCTCCACCACATCGTTCAGAGCAGTTTCGGTTTTGGTTCTTAAAGTGAGTATTGTTATGGGGAATGGTTGAGATCGCAACGAAGGGTTTATATAGAAATCTAGGCACGCTAGTCGCAGACATGTTCCTTGCTGCCTGCGCTTTTACAAATACACTACGGGCGTGCTGGGTGTGGAGAGCACATGGCATGGTCTTTTGTTGTATTTTGGACGACAGGACAACATGAGGAATACGTAGGCTGGTTTTGAGACGCACGGAGAGAACGAACGACATAAGTCGTGCTGCTATGTTTTTCGCACGCACGTCTCTCTCCCTTCTCCACATCAGTTGTACAGCCGTAAGTTTTGGTATTGATTTGTAAATGTAAGTTGGGTTGAAGAGGTGTAAGGACGCAGCGGATCTTTATATAAACACCCGGTGACACTAGTCGGATACATGTTCATTACCAGATCAGCCTTTGGGGGTAGATATGTAGGATATGTATATGGTGAGAGCACATGGTTGAGCCTTGTATGGAATTTGGACGGCAGAACAGCGTGGCGACTACGTAGGCCGATTTTGAGACGCACGAAGACAACAAGCGATATCGAATTATCCCACGGGTATTTTGTTTTTGGTAGGGACGTCTCTCTCTCTCTCTCTCTCTCTTCTCCACATGGGCTTTGTGCCGCTGGCTTTTGTTGGTATATAGAAAGATGTTTGGTATTGGAGAACAGTAAGCAGAGAAGAACGAGGGCTTATATAGAAGTTTCGAGAGGCTAGTCGCACGCGTAATTCAGCTACCTTTGAGACTTCGAAGACATGCGGCAGTCCAAGGGTCTTGCAGCGTGGCAAGGCCATGTAATAAGCTGGGGGAGTTTTTGGAATTGTGTTGTGAAAAACGCAAAGTTTTGGAGAAGTAGCGGTTTTGAGAAGTGCATAGAGAGTCTTCCTTTATGCTATTACCCTATACAAGAGAAAAACTAAACACCTAGGAGCCTACGTCGCTGTTAGGCTACTAACTTTATAAGTTTTTATCTTAATATAGGCTCTAGGGTGTTTAGTTTTTCCTTTAAATAGAGTGCTATTAAGCTTGTATTTTTTACTTAAGAGAATTTAGCACTTTTTGTATGTAATCTGTAGAGCAAAATCTGCGTGCAAAAGAGCTATGGGCGGATTCTGACCCAGATTCCTATGACTAGAGAGTACGAAATGATCCTCTGGGATTTGTTGATAATGCGAAACATTTGACCAACGCCGACTTCTCATGTCTTGAGTCCTTTCCGTTTTTTATACTGTCTTCGCAAACATGACTTCTTTGGGTAGCAATTTAGATTCACAAGCAGACAGCCATAACGACCAATGGATCAGTTTTGGATATTGGCGAAGCTGATAGTAAGGAAGTAAGGAAGGTGGAAAGTATAGTAGCAATTTCCTCCTTATAGCCTTTCTGGTCTCAGCTTATGACATGGTGCGCAATGCTGTCATAACATTTCTGTGTACTCTGGGATACACATGGATATATTTTGATCGGGTAGCGTGGATGTGTAGCTAAAGGTAGAGAGACCTCTGGACTGCACTACACTAACATCGGTTTCTCGACAGTAACTTTTGGAGAAGGGAGTGAAAGATCATGAAATAGTTATTGTCCATCTTTTAATTGTTATTTTTTAAATATTGCACAGTTGCGCAAGTGTGGATGAGGAGATCAGAAACGACCGAAGCGTCTTTATTCATACTGCCAGAAGCTCGGATCAAGAGACATAACTCACTAATGGATATGTTTCAACATGCTTTTAATGTTCCCGCTCTTCAGGAAACATGCGCCGACTTTTCGACAAATTCAGAGCCCTCACGGCTACTGAGCACAAAGTTACCAGCTCTGGAGAAGCGTTCGAACCGACATGTTTCTATCGACAGTAATTTTGTTTCACGCAGAGCAAGCTCATAAGAAGATTTGCTCTCGGTCTTCGATAGCGCGCAATAGAAGAAGGATGTGAGGAATAGGTAATAGTCGGCAAGCGAGCAAAGCTTTGTACTGCCCAAGGTCCACCTCAACACATGACTATGGTTTGTGTTATTTTCGGTCCAGTCGCGCACCGCACATCGAGAGCTTCATGTCCATTTTGTTTAGCTCAGTCGATAAGTGTCTCTCATCGACCTGTTCCTGGAACTGTTTTGATATCGTCCACAGTCTCCAGCGCAATCATAAGGTAGCCATCGAGGTATTTTGGTGGCCAGAAAGCCAACACCATCAGTGCTCATATCGCTGGTTTTGGTGTCTCACCAGTTATGGTGGTATACAGAAAACGAATATATCGACCACTCGATAGAATTTATGTCGACTGTGCACGAGTCCAAGAGCGCAAGACAGGTCATGTCAACTTTGTCACGTCTTTTTGGCTTCCACATCGGCGATACATGGCAATCCCGTACCTCGTTTTGTGGACTTTGCAGGAGTGGACATGCGCTATGATCTCGTGAGTTCTTGGTTTCCAGGGAAAACATTCATCTGTGGACATGTTTTTTTGGTAGAAAAAGATAAGGAAATAGATTCAATGAAGAATGGAGGAAGGGGAGAGAGGTGCGGCTCTTAAGTGGCCTGGAGTAGCACGTGCACGGTCGAGCCTTTGGTATGAGCCCCCGTGAGAGCATCGCCCGCACATAAGACGAAGCCTCGTTGCACAGATGGGTCGGTGCGCTTCCATCTCAGCGAGATTTGGAACACCCAGCTTCGAGTTCACACATCTTCATTCCAAAGGACACGTAGTTACGCACCAAACACATCATTGAGTAACAGCAACTTCCATTGCGCGTCATAACGCTTCTACACCACCATTCTACCCAACGCTCTATACTCAAACAACAGTACTATACCCCCCGCCATACCCTCTCCGCCCCTTCCACCTCACATACCACTTCCTCCCCTCATCCGCCCAAAACACACAACTCGCGACCGCAACTAGATGCGCGAGATCGCCCAAACCCAGGGCCTCAGTCTGGAAAACGCTTTGCAGCGGCGGGAAGTAAATAACAGCCAGCTGTCCGAGCAAACTGCCCGCGACAGCGTAATTAAACATCTTGTTATCGAAGACACCAATCTCGCCTGCAAGAACGGATTTGCTGGAGGAGCGGCACGTTAGTGCGTTGAACATGTCGAAGAGGACGAAGCAGGTAAAGGTCATGGTTGTGTCGCGGGCGGTGACGAGGTTGTCGGTGGACATTTCGAGGTAGTAGGTCGTGAGGGTGCCGAGCATGATGATGGTGGCGGATTGGAGGACGCGTTGGATGAGTGGACGGGTTAGGACGCGGGCGTGGCGTGGGCGGGGAGGTAGCGCCATGACGGCTGGGTCGACGGGTTCTACACCGAGGGACTGTGCTGGCGGACCGTCCATAAGGATGTCTGGAGGTGACTGTTAGTAAATATCAATGAGAACGGGAGTAGAGAAACTCACTGATCCACAGAATCTGCATGGCATTGAGCGGATTCTGGAAGCCGAGGAATGTGCTAAGGAGTACCAAGCTCAGTGCTGCCGCGCTGGTGCTGAGTTGGAAGGTGAGGAAGTTTTGGATGTTGTAAAAGATGCCCTTGCCCTCTTCGATCGCATTGAGGATGGTCGCAAAGTTGTCATCTGTCAGAATCATGTCTGCGGCCTCTTTGGCGACATCCGTGCCCAGTCGACCCATGGAGATACCGATATCTGCTTTCTTGAGTGCAGGCGCGTCGTTGACACCATCACCAGTCATTGCCACAACATCGCCTCGTGATTGTAGTGCTCGGACAATCTTCATCTTGTGCTCAGGACTAGTTCGCGCAAAAATCGAGGTTGTCGCAATAGCCTGTGCAAGCTCTTCCTCGCTCATATGATCCAGTTCGTCACCACGAATGACTGAGCGTCCAAGTGCTGAGTTTGGCATAATTGGCATACCCAGACTCTTGCCGATGGCGACTGCGGTGGTCTCTGCATCTCCTGTGATCATGATAACCTTGACTTTGCCGGCCATGAGTCTCCGAATGGCTCTCTCTACACCCTTGCGGGGCGGATCGTTCATGCCAACCAAGCCAGCGAACGCAAGACCACGGTACTGTTCATCATCACCAAGTGCCGAGCTGGTGGATGGTGCAGGTGAGGCTGTACCACTGGCGTTCCTCTTTTTCCCTTTGGATGCACCGCTTGCGAAGCCGAGCACACGTAAGCCTTCTTGCGCCATTGCATCGGCAGCCTTCATCGCTTCTTGCTTGCGTGCTTGATCGAGTGTCACCTCTTTCCCTTGTGCCGTTACATACGTATCACAGCGGTCCAGAACCCGTTCCAGTGCGCCTTTGATGTATGCGTGTTCAGATCCAGGGGTGAGGTTGCCGGAATTACCGCCAACAACGACCCCCATCCACTTCCTCTCCGAGCTGAAGGGTGTCTCGAACTTGCGTTCGCCGAGTCTTTCCCGGATATCATCTTCCCCAAAAGCGTCCATCAGGTCTAAGAGCGCGACATCGGTGGGCTGACCGACCCATCGGCTCTTGGCAGCTGTATTGTCGTCGCCTCCTAGAGTCGAAGAAAGAACCGCTGCCGTGGACGCCGAGGCTGCCTGGTCGCTCAACAAGCGGGCATTGTTGACAATATTGCCAATTCGTAGTATATTGCGGGTCGGCGAATCGAGGTCCGTGGAGTCGTGCTTCGTCTTTACGTCAATCGGTGCTGCTTCGTCAAAATGCCATATCTTCGTAACGGTCATATGATTTGTGGTCAACGTGCCTGGTCCAAGTCAGTGATGTCGTATCCGCGGAAAAGGAAGGACTTACCCGTCTTGTCAGTACAGACGACATTGACAGAAGCCAGCGTCTCAACACTAGGTAATCTCCGAACAATAGCGTCGCGTTTGGACATCCTCAGCACACCCAGCGCAAGCGTGACAGTAACGATAATCGGCAGTCCTTCGGGGATAGCGGCAACAGCGAGTGAGACAGCGATCTGGAAGACCTCAATGAACTTCCAGCCGCGCCACAGCCCTACCAGACCGATTAAGGCAATGACTCCAAAAGACATGTAACTCAGGTCTTTGCCCAGACGGTCCATGGAAAGTTGTAGAGGCGTCCGCGGGCTTTCGATCTGCTGTAGAGATGCAGAAATGGCACCAAACTCCGTGTTGCCTCCTGTACCGACGACGATTCCTTGTCCGTAACCCGATCTAACCAATGTACCCATGAAAGCAATGTTCTTCTGGTCATTCAGTCGTATATCAGCGCCGACCGTTCCTGCGGCTTCGGACGCGTAGAAAGGTGAAGATGGCCGTTGCAAGCCCGGCGGGGGTGTGATGGTGTCTGGCGACTTGGAGACAGGCTCGTTCTCTCCGGTGAGGTTCGACTCGTCGATGCTGAGGTCTGCGGCGTGCGTGATGCGAATGTCGGCGGGTATGCGGTCTCCCGTGTGGAACAGGACGAGGTCGCCAGGAACCAACAACGTCGCAGATATGGTAGTAGACTTCCGCTCCGCAGCTGACAGGGCCGAAGTGGTGTCCTTCAGATTCTCCAACTCGACGTCGTCAGTTGGCGTGCCATTCGGTATGCGACCGTTCCGCGGTTGCTCGACCCCAGCGCGAATGATGTGTGCCGAATGCGGAACCAGCTGGTTCAGCGCCTCAATTGACTTCTCAGAGCGGTATTCCTGCACGAAGCCCACTGTCACCACGATGGTCACAGCCACGGCAATGCTCACAGCATCATCCAAGTTGCCCAGTATGAGGGATACAGCAGCGGACCCGAGCAGCAGCAAAATCAGCGTCTCCTTGAATTGCTTGAGGAAGCGGAGCCACAGCGGTTCGGGCTCTTCGTGGGGAAGTTCGTTGAGGCCGTGGGTGTGGATGCGCGCCGAGGCGTCCGAGGCAGAGAGGCCATGTGTAATCGACGTCGAGAGCTTGTGGGCCGTGTCCTGTGCCGAGAGGAGGGAATGGGCGGATGTTATTGACTATTCACACGTGTCAGCGGCGTGTCCAGAACTCGGGAGCGCATGGCGTACTGAGGGCGTGGTGCTGCGCTTGATGGCGTCTGGCGGCTGCAGCATGGGCGAAGAGGGCCGCGAAGACTTGGAGGGCAGGCCCGCGGCATTGTAGAGGGGCAATGAGGACGTGGATGCTTTTGACATGTTGGCATGGCCAGGAGTCGACTGTTGCGCCGCGGTCCAACGTGGCCTATCCGTCCAGAGCTAGCGTGGAAAAAGATGCGCGTCGCCGTGGATTATCGCATTGGTGCTAGTAGTAATAATGCGTCTTTGATTGGCGAGCGGGACGAGACAAGGAAATGGCGAGTCGACTGCGGGTTGTCGTTGGGGATGGTGTTGCTGAATGTCGATGATGGACCAAAACGTCAAAGCACCGGTACTCTCGAGCAGGGGTCTCCATCGAGCGTCTGGTCACCACTTTCACACGAACCACTGTTTGACTTCACAGCACTAAACCCATCTGACGACGTGTTCCGTTTTGAAACACTCAATGTAGCCTCTATTTGTAGCTTAGCGTTGTGTTGCCTACCATGTGTCGGCTTCTCGCAGCGTCGAGTGACGCCTTGGCAGGTACATGTCCGCTACACGCTCAAGTGATGGCGCGCTTTTCCGTGGCTCTGCGTGTGATGTCATACACCAGCCTCTCTCAAACTCTACACCTGTGGCTGAAGCCTGCGCAATTTCCTCATCTTCATCTTGTACAACTTGGATTTACTTTGATTAAACGCTACTCGAGTAATAATACACCTTCCCCTCGAATAACCGCCGAGCAGTCCGCGAGACAACGCACCTATCCACAAAAGCAAACGATTCCGAGCTGGTTGCCAGAACATCAACCTTGATCGACCCGCTCGAATGCGAAAGACAGACTCTCCTCTGGCTCGGTAGAAGATCCGAAGAGCTACCATCAGAGTCTGAGCAGGGACTCGGTGTCCGCTCAGGTGAAGACGACTGCCAGGAGGACTGCACCTTGCTGCCGGATGCAAGTCCGTGGGCTACAGTACCTTCTATGCACACTGCCGACGCCAAGCATGCCGCACCTGTGAGTTGCAGGCTCGGGTGGGGTTTGCCCATACTGAACGCTTGGACATGAACGTCCGGCGTGCCTTCCTGAGAACCATCATCTGGTTGAGGAGAAGAAACGATAGCCAGCTTCGGTGTCCCGCGGACTTTTACAGCAGCGTCTACATCAGAAGCGAGACCCATCATAACGGCGCCAGTACATCGTATTGACTCCATGTGCTGGAGATAGACGGCCGTGTCTTTGCTACCTCTCCTTAGGTTTGGCGGTAATGTTCGTTCGTCGACTAGGACAAAAGGATTCGCTGCGTCTATCAACGTCGCCTTGACCGAGAAGCGATTGCCGTCTTGTCCTTTCACATGAATAGTATCACATCGTCTCCCCGTAGGAAAGAGAGTTCCAGTCATGCTCCCGGCAGGATCCACAAAGGCCACTTTTACTTCGCTTCCGGTTCCCTTGACGCCTGGTATCGCGTAGTCTCCGTCTTCATCGAACGATCCGTCCTCGTCTACTTGAACGGTATCGACGATGAGCCGCGAAGTGTTCGTATTGAAGATCCGTACATCGAGCTGAAGAAGAATGAGTATCCCATCCGTCTCAATTACAACAAGAGGACTTACCGTCTTCTCTCCGGGACTTGCACGCACTAGTCCCTCTTGTAGCGCAAATGGTCCAACACCAGCGCACATGTTTCCACAGTTTCCGCTGAAGTCGACCGCCTCCTGACCCACTGCTACTTGTACAAAAGTATAATCGATATCGACGCCCATTCGGGATGATGGCGAAACCACTGCAACCTTGGAAGTCGTTGAAGTCGCTCCTCCTACTCCATCAATCTGTCGAGCATCCGAACCTTGAGAACCCATGGCGGCAAGTAATGGGCCTGCCCACGCTGATTGGGAAGATGGCAAGTCGTGACGATGGATGAAGAGACCTTTCGAAGTACCAGCACGCATCAAAACGGCTGGTAGGCTGTGTCGCACCCTTTTCGGGGCGCTTTCGTGTGCCATTGGGAGTTCAGGTATGCGGATCGGTGAGATGTGTGAGACAGTCGAGGTGTGTGCCTTTTGAAAACTGGATGGTTTAAGAAGTGTGCGAATCATCTATAGAGGATGATGCTGCGATTGAAGGTGATGAATGCGATGAAGTCGGTGCTTCGTTTCCAGGCTGACATGTGTCATCATGCTCGACGGTGCAACTCTCTATATATGTCTTCGTTCCAAAAGTGTTCGGGGAGATACCAACGGGTAGAAGCATGAGACTCTTCCCGTTAGCGCGTAAGATGCCGTGGAATCTCAAGTTGGTACGGAAAGCCTAGCCGCGGTAAAACCTCGGCTTTCTTCCCGCGGGATCTTTATATACCACAGGGTTTGACGCGCTAACAGAAAAGTCTAGTGCCACTATACCCGTCTCTTCTCTGTCTTTCGCGCTCAAGCCTGAAAGGTCTTTTCGCGAGAGGAAACCTTGGCCGTGTACATTGGGAGATGGCAAATCCGGTAATGGTGGTCCCTCAGGCTGATGCAAGACTTTAAGCTCTTACATGTCCCAGTCCAGCATTGTGAATTGATCAAGCTCTGACCCGTTGAATCCATAAAGTAGGTCATCTACTGAAAACGGTTGCTCACTGAAGGTTTGCTGTTGGCCCTGATAAGTCCAATCTCCAGAATTTCCAAAGGGCAGGTTTGCCGTCTCCGTGGTACTGTACGCCGACGGCGGCACTCCAGGTACAGCCAGGTCGGCAGTAGGATCCATTGAACCAGGCTGCGCTAGATGCGTAGAGTCCTGATCTCGGACAAAACTCTGGATAATGCCATCGATATCGAAGCTTTGCAAGCTTGGTTCGCGATTCATTGCACTGCCCAAAGAAACGTCTGGTGCGCTGTTGTGGTTGTCTTCACCACTGCCTATGTGTATGTCATTCAGCTCGGGTGCAACAACACCCAATCTCTTCATCAGGCTCTGGATAATGGCATTGGCGCGTCGTACAGCCCAATTAGTCTCTTGGTTGTCGCGGAAAACGGCTAAGCAAGTCTCTAGGCTCTTGTGAGCTTGTGAGCCGGCACCACGCTTGGCTGCAATACGGGCATGCACAGTGGCAGCAACATAAGTCGCATAGGAAATCAGGTAAGGAGCTCTCCGCACACTGAACGTTTTGTCGTATGCTCTCAGGAGCTGTACAATAGCATCCGCCGCAGTGGCGCACGCCATAAACGAGTTCACGGAGATGGCGCGTGATGTATTGTAGAGATGCCCATCTGCGACGAAGGGTCGGTGCAAGAGAATCGTGAGCACATGGTACAAGGCGCTAGTGTTGATTTAGTACATCCGCGGCGTGTGCAACATTGTGATCACTTACTGTAAGCTTAGGACATGCGGAGGAGGTGTCGCCGCTACTTCCGCTACATCTACCGTGAGGTGTTCGGGCAGAAGCCCACGCCATGTTATCAGCTTTTGATGGATGCTCTCCAACTTGGTCGACAGCTCTGTAGGGCTTACGTCGAAGCTTCTTTCGGTATAGATGGTGCTGAGTATGTCGCTCAGAATAACCGAGAGCTGGCAAAGGTGTCGAAACGTGGAGATACTATAAGCCGGCGATCCTAGATAGACGGCGTCTGGTTGCGTGGAATAAGAAAAGGGTGTCCAATGCTCAAGTTCTTCGTAGGTGTCGAGTAATTTGGTGGGTACGAGTGTGTCTGTCATGCTTACTGGGCGACCTTGATAGAGGCTTTGGATCTTGTCGACGACTGCGGTTCTTATTAGTGGAATGATGAGCAATTTGAAGACCATGCCTACCAAATGCTGCCCAGAAAACACGACGCCGAATTTCATGGTCCTCATCAGAAAGCTTGCGATATCCTGCAAATTCAGGCTTATCAACGTGAAGACCAAGGTCAACGATCATGCGAAACGCTAACCCAGCGTACAGCCAGGCAGCACTGCGCTCATCGCCAAGAGCAAACAACGAGTTGGTCATAACTAGCAACGCTTGAATTGTTGTGATTTCGCTCTTGTCCAAAGCGCCTCCCAGGAGTTCTCTCACTCTTTCACGAAATTGCCATCCAGCAGTGCGGACATCGTCTGCTACACGGCGAACTTCGTGCCGTGGGCTGAACTTACTTGCGCCGAAGTAGATGGCATTCAAGAGAAGTTTGGAGAAGTACGGACCGCCACATGCCATGTCACGCATGAAGGCCGGGCGATAGGTAGTAAGGAACGAATGGTGTTGCCGGTTCCAATGTAATGACAATAGATGCATACCAAGCTCAGGTTCGACGCCGTCGAAGTCGAGCTTCTTAAGTCGAAAGTTGACGGTCTCAAGTTGTCTCTGACGAGCAGCTTCAGCAACGAGACCTTTTTCAATCCATTCATCTGACATTTGGGGTCGTGCTTCAGCAGCATATCGATCATTGGTGCCTTCGTCAAATAAAGTGCTCGTGCGCCCATGATAGCTAGAGGAGCCATTGGGAGCGACAACAATGCGCGACACGCTTTGAGGTGTAGTTGCAGGGGTCTGTGCAACAGGTGCAGAAGCAGCGATTGATGGTGTCGACTCTGATGTTCTGTCTGACGCTCTCTCGGATGTTCTTGCTGCTCGCGGTGTCTTGCGCGGACGACTGGTAGCATGTTGTACGTCATCTATGGATATAGGCTCGTAATGACAAATTGTATCATGCGTTTTGCAACTTGCGCAGATTGGCTTTTCAGCACTGCATTTGATCTGCCAGCCTCAGTATGCAACTCCTCGACGATGACAAGCAGGCGTCCAGTAACGAACCTTCCTCCGCCGGCAGAACGTACACGCCTCGGCAGCCCTTTTGCGCGTGCGGCCTGTCGCCGCTGCATTCGTAGGCATCGCAGTGTGCGATGGCTAGCACGACGGGAATTTTGGAGGGCGATGTCGTCGCCGGAGTTCAGAGAGGCGAGTAGGTGCAAAGGGCAAGGCCGCGAAGACGCAGTTGCCGACCTCGGGATAATCTGCCGCAGCGCACCTGCCTCAAGTTGGACAGCCCAACTTTTTCCGAGCAATACACGCCAACACAATGCACATTTCCTCCAAGTCATTAACTTCAGTCAAATGATCAACCGTGAAGTCATGACGTTTCAAGAATCACTTGGAGAAGGATACTCCAGATCCGTGAAGGTAGTACTGAATTCATTCCGTCTTCCAAAGCTGATGTAACTATCCTAATACAATCATACAAGGGACCAACTTCCCACAAACACCATACCTCACAAGAACACCAAAACACCAGTCAAAGTCCGTCTCCAACGTGAAAAGAGTCATACATGAAAAGGGTATCCAGCCAACACCGACAGATGATACCAAGCCCCAAAGAAGGTCGGAGAAACACAGAATGTTAGACTTTTAGGCAGATACAGACACCTCAGGTGGTCCCTGGAACATGGCCTCAGCGGGCGCGTCGGGATCTCCTGTTGGTGCTGCTTGAGCCTGGGATGCCAGCTCGCCACTAGCACCAGTCTCTGCCCATTGTCCCCAAAGGCCACGCTTAGCGCGAATGCGTAGAGGGCCGCCAAGCTCGTTAGCTGGCTGCTCAACTTTGATGGCATCCTTGGTCGCCAGTACCAGCATTTCAAAGAACATCTTCGTCGCGTCTGTTCGTGATGTGCGGGCCTCTGGGAAGGCATCCTGGAAAACGATGCTGGTCTTCTGTCGTACCGACTCGCTCTCTTCAGCTTCGGGTCCAAATTGTTCTCGCAAGAAATGGACAGCGTGCTTTGTGCCTAGCGATACGGGCCCGGCTTCGTCGGGATGGACGAGCGGCGCGGTTGTGTCGTCGAAGTTATCTGGAACGGGCGAGAAGATGTCCTCTTCGTCATCACCAACCTGTTGGAAACCAGGGTCATCGGGAAGTTGAACGATATCGTCGGATCCCGCAAGCGTGGGATCGTTGTCACCACCAAGGCCAAGGTCACCGCCTCCTAAAGTCGGCTCATCCTGCTCAAACTCCAGCTGCAGTTGTGGCGTCTTCTCTCCTTCGGCTGCGGCCTCGTCTTCGGTAGCGTCATTGTCGGCAATTGCACCACCACGCTTGCGCTTCTGGGCTGGGCGTGAGACAACTTCTAGGGAAAGGATACCTCGAAGCTCTGGGGCCCATCCTTGGCTTCGTCCGTCGCCCAGTATGCTTGAGATGAACCCTCCGGACTTTTGCATGTTCATCAAAGCCATCAGAAGAGGGTCGCGAGGCAGGAAAGATGCAGGCTTCAGGATCTTCTCGCGGTTGTTCTGTTGCTCCCTCAACTGGTGACTTGAGATCATAGTTTCGGCATCAGCTGCAATGACCCTCCTGCGCTTGGCGCGGGCTTGATGGATTGATTCTTCCTCTTCCTGCTCTGGCTCGGGCTCAAACACGGTGACGTTCTGTTCGGCAACCTCCTGTTCAAGACGTGTGGCCTCCTCCTCTCCCAACTCGGAGAGCGGTGACTCTTCACGTTGTCGCACAGGGAAGTCGCCGGCGACAGAGCCTGCAGGAAGTTCGGTGTCCATGTCCATACCGCCCATAGTAATATCCAGGTCATCGTCCAAATTGAGTTCATGGCCGCGTGCGAGTTCAGTGGGAGGATCTTCGCCAAGGTCGATGCCGAGATCATCGTCATCCACTATCATGTCTTTGCCTAGCCCGGTAAACTCTTCGGACCGACGGCGTTCCAAAGGTGCGTTACGGCCAACTTCAATGCTGGTACCCTCGTCGTAGGCGGCTGTCGGCTCCAAGTCATCATCCTCTCCAATGTCCAGGTTCAGGTCGTCATC